AAACACCCCCCCCACACCCCTCGGCACCGCCGTGCTCCCGACGCCTGAGAGCCTGACCCCCCCCAAAGCACCCCCCCCACCAACCTGTGGCGCGCGTGCAGGCAGGCCAGCCGGCGAAGCGCGGCGCTGAGCGAGCTGGACGCGGCGTTGGCGGGCAAGCGTGGCGCGCTGGACGCGGTGGCCGCCGCCGCGGGGGAGCTGGAGGGCGCGGAGCGGGCGCTGGCGCAGGGCCTGGGCGCAGGTGGAGACGCCGGGGGCCGGGCCGCGGAGCGCGCCTCCGCGCGCGCCAGCGCCGCGCTGCGCCTGCAGGCCGCGCAGAACGGGCTGGCCGAGGCGGTGGGCGACGCGCTGGGCGTGCTGCGCGGCGCCGAGGCCGAAGGTGGCCGCGGGGGCGAGGCCGGCGACGCCCGTGGGGGCGAGGCCGGCGACGCCCGCGGCGCCTGGGACCGCTCGCCGGCGCGGCTGGGGCGCCTGGACGCGGAGGCCCTGGCCCTGGCCGCCGACGACCCGGGCGCGGGCGAGGCGGTGGCCGCGATGCTGGACGAGGGCTGGTGGCGCGAGTAGGCAAAAGGGCTTGGCCTGGAGGGCCCCGCGCCTGTCGGGGACGCCCGGGGTCCATGGGGACGCTGATGAGCCGCGGCCCCCGGCTGGCTGCCAGGGCGTGCCATGTTACCAGGAGCGCGCTCGCACCACGACAACGCTCACCACTCTTCATCCTCTCTCTTGCACACCCCGTTGACTTTTCATGACGACCTGGATCATTGAGCACACCTGCCTGGCCTTGCATGTAAGAATTGAGGGGCAGGCTGGGATTGGTTTGGGGGAGCACCTAGGCGGACACAGGGCGCAGCTCATTCCCCCGCCCAGGCTGGTCTGGCTCCGGCAAAGTGCGCCACGCTTTCGAGTGCCGAACGATGGTCTGACGCTGGACATTCTCACCAGATAAATCAGTTGGATTCCGAGTAAGCACGCGCGCCGTTGCCCGTAAAGGAGGGTGAGACTATCCCACACGAACTCTCGACACACCAGTGTTTCGGGGGCCCCCCCGCAGCCCCCCGCCCCGTTTGGGCACACGAGCCTAGCCCATGAGCCAGAGTATAGAGGCGCTGCGCTCGCGGCAAGAGCAGATTGGGGCAGACCTCGCCAAGCTGGAGCGACAGGTGTGGGCATGGGAACTGTGCTGGTCCAGGCCGGCCTGCGTGTCGCCTGCCATGGGTTGCCTCGCCCTCAAACCATCTCCCTCATCCTGCCGAGCTTTCAGCCACATGTATTAATTCCAATTCCAATTCGTCCTTATTTGCACAGATTTATGACACAGAGACCGTGTACTTTACCGCAGAGTACACCAACTTTGGCACAGTGCTCAAGGTGGGTGCACAGCATGATATTTTTGGTGTGCTGCTAATGATGGGCTCCCAACCCTACATCAAAGGCTATTCCTTCCTTGGAGTATCGTATGAGTGTCTCCCCTGCCATGCTCAGGGGCCACCCTCAACGCAATACAAGGTTGTACAGCCCTCGCCACATTCGCAATGCGCAGGGCTTTGAGGGGTTCCTGACATCCAAGAATGCCGCCGCCAAAAACAAGAACCGGGTGTTCAGGCTGGAAGACCGTGCCATCTCCCTGTCCTCCACCACCTCCCCAGCGGTGTGTTCATTCTTTCACGTTCAGTGGATTTGATCAAGGTACAATGCGCAAGCATCGCGGCAAGCTCATCATTTGCTGTCCATTGTCGCCATGCAGACCCAGGAGATCCTGATGGAGCAGGAACAGGCTCGGACAGAAGCCTTGGGCTTTGGCAGGGCGGCAGGGGGCACCTACACTCCACAAAACGGAAATGGATACGGCAAGGGTCGACGATTGTGATGTTACGGTCCATCCTGCATGCAGGGGGCTCACTACGGCTGGAGGGGCCGAGCAGATGCATGGGCATCAGAGAAGAATGCGGCTGGAGAGATTGCTGCGTCTCGGTGTACAGATGGTTGACCGGCCTGCCATCTCTCTTGCTCCCCCCACCACTTGATTGATGGAAGCCATCAATCTGAGCCTTCAGGACTGCCTCTATATGCCTCCAGCTGCCGATCCTCTTCGGAGCTCCATCGCTCCTCCAGATGCATGGCCTGGTCCCTACTCCTACTCACGGTCTCTGTGCCTAAACAAGGGAGGCATGACTGCTGAGTAAATTGCAATGCCATATGGTCGCTCTGGTCCCATGTAATAATGACACCACCTCACCGTTTGATTGCAACATACTCCCCTGGGAGTCCTCTGCAGGCAGCCAGCGGGGGGTGGAAGGCATGCTAAGCGATCGAATCATTCTATACCTGAGCAGCCCGAGGTTGAGCAGCCACTGCAAGCATGCCTGTGGACCTCAAGCAAACATCCCTCACCTTGCTGGTTCTGCCCGCCGGATCTCCTGATGACAGCCGGCACGAGCGCCAACCGCCGCGTGTTGTACGAGCCACACCCTCCGCACTTGAGCCCCACAAGGTTGTACTGCACTGTACATGTTGATCTGTGGGACCAAGAGGGGTGTTAATCTGGTCACGACACCTGCACACTCCAACAACTGGTCAGCGGCAGGAGCTGACGGCATCTGTGAACACTGCAGCTAGCTGCAGCCAGCTGGCAGCATATTAATGGGGCTATGTACAAGCATTGCGACCTTGAACTGAACTACTGCCCAGATGAGGTTCGACCTTGACACCCTTCTGGTGATCCTACTCAACGCACCACCCTATGACCCACTCACAGGCAGTCGTTGCAGAAGATCTCGGCCTGCCATCCCACATACTCCTCTGGGAGAGGGTGTGAGGCCGCGATGGAGTCCAGGTACCGCCAGGTGGCGGAGTTGTCTTGCAGCGAGCGCTTGCAGATGGGGCAGCAGGCACAGACTGAGATGCTGTCGCTCCGTTCCAACTCCTGTGCATGTTGAGTTTTCAGTGGCATGGATTGATGCAGGGAGGTGGGGTGGCCTCGCCGTCTGGACCGCCGCCGCCGCTGTCCTCGCATTCCCGCCCGGAACTTTGCCCCCCCTCACCCGCCCTTCCCCTCCCCATGCGCACACTCGCCTTGAGGCAGGACGAGTGGATGGTGTGCCCGCAGGGCAGCACGGCTGTTGGCTGCACGCTCTCAAACAGGTACTCGAAGCAGACGGGGCAGTTCTGATGCATGGCCCGCTCCACGCAGACGTGCCGGCCCCTGAGTTTGGTGGAGTAGCAGGAGCCGCAGGTGTCGCAGTGGAAGAAATTCTCGCGGCCGCCCACACGGCAGATGCCGCAGTCGGCGCAGTGGAAGGCCTGCTTGGAGACGTCGTCGTCGTAGAAGGGGCAGAGGGTGCATGCGTAGGCGCCAAAGGCCACGCCGCAGCGGCAGCAGTGGTCCCCTACGGGCTGGCGCAGGGAGCACAGGGCGCACACGACCTCGGTGACCAGCGAGCGGTCCAGCTCGTGCCTCAACTTCACGTCCTGAGATGTGGAGGGGGAAAGACAGGACGGAGCCATTGATACACCGTGTTTTATTGAGCGCATAAGATGGGAGGGCGGGGGGGGGGGAGGGGGGCGAGGGCTCGCATACAGCTCATGGGAGACTGAGCAGAGCAAGATCTGGCAGCCCCAAGGCGATGCCACGGAATGCTGCAGCCAATGTGCGCCGCTGGACACCTCATGAGGATACTGGTTTGTCCGAGTAGGCCCTATCGCAAAGGCCATGCACAGCAGCGCACCTTTTCATTGTCATGCTTGGCCTCGTTGTGGCAGTGTCGACACCAGAAAATTTCCCCACTGTGAGGCATTCGGGTGGGGGAAAGTTTCGTTCCCTGGAGCACATGCAAGGCATCACTCACGTTACATTCCACCTGGAGCGGAGGCCAACCCTCCCAGTAGCCCTTGCAATAGTACCCCATCCATCGCACCAACATGGAGTGACCAGCTTGACACGCCGGCGGTAATGGGAGCACCCAAACTCGCCCAAGCCCCTGTTCCGTTCAGCTCGAACTTCAGGTCCGACATTGTCGTCACCATCAATACTATGATTCATGTCAAGAAGATGTGGAGCAGGGCGCAGCGCAAAGTAAATATCACTCTAGGCGAAGAAGAGGGGTGAGGGGATGCCAGGTGACTACTGCATGGTCCAAAAGCATTCTGTCAAGTCTGTGAACGCCATAGCGGGGGCGTGTCACCTGAACATGATTTTCATAGGAACAGAATGGGCCCCTTGAGCTTTAAGCGGGCTTGTGTGCGTTGCTTATGTTGGCTGCAGGTACGGAGATCCTGGCGCGCCCACAAGAAGTTCGCAAAATCTGGGGCGCGCTAGGTTCCGCGAAACCGGCAATGTGCAATCCCGCATCTCGTTCTTGCATGGGAGCAAGGACTATGGTGCATGTCACAAATATGATAAAAACAGTTACAATGACGCGGCCTTGACGGTCGCCCCGCCCCTCGATGGATGGGTTGCAGTGGCGGAGTTTGGCACCGCTTCCAAAACTCCTGCTGCAGCATGACGGCAACCCCTCCCTAGGGCAGGGCGAGGAGCATGCCCAACTACTACAGGCCCTGGAATCTGGATCTGTTAGCCTGGTTCTGGGCCCCAGCCAGACCGCAGAGGGGTGAGCAGTGGCTTGGGTGGGACTGCAGGGCCTTGCCCGCGTCACAACAGTTTCGGATAATTGGTGTGGAGCCTACACGTCGCCCTGTGCTTTCCAGGAGCGTGCTGGTGGCGGGGCTTGGTCAGAGGCTGGTCGTCCTGGGGCTGGGCGACGGTGCCCACGACCTCGCCTTTGACACCGTGCTGACTGAGTCCGAGAGAATCACCAGCCTCGCAGTGATGGAGAGGGACCCCGGCGCCAAGAGTGGGTCGGTTGCAATTTGTGCGGTGGTGTCGTGGCATGGCACTGTCCATGCTGGTCCCAGGCAGATCATTGTTGAGGATACTGTTTGGGGATGGCAGCAATCAGATGTGTCCAGCCTGTCCTCCATGACCTGCAGATGCCCTCCTCACGGCAGGTACGGCAGCATCACAGCTCACAGATTCCCCCCCCCCCCGCCCCTGGCTCGGCACATGCAGGCACGCAGCCGGCCGCCATCCTGGTGGGCACCTCGGCCGGCTTCCTGCAACTGCACTCCCCGGACGCCCGGCTGGTGCTGCGCCAGGCCCTCCACGACAGAGCCCTGCTCAGCCTCAGCGCCAGGTGCATTCATCCTGACAAACGAGGCCCGCGCCGCTGGCCAGATGTGCGGCGAGCCCCTGTGCCCTCCAACGCTCACCTGCGTGCCCCACCTCCCCTCCCCCATTCCTCCTCTCCAGGTCCTGCGATGCTGGGGCCGGGGTGCCCCATGCTCTGGCCACCTTTGAGAATGCGGTGGCGCGCGTGGCGGGGTGGGACGTGGCAGCCGCCATGCAGTGGCGCGCCCGGTCCTGGTCGGTGGCCGGCTGGGGCGGCGGGTCGGAGCCCCCCGCCCTGGACGTCGCCAAGTGGACCCTGGGCCGCGGGGTCGGTGAGTGGTGTTATGGGACCATACATCTTGCAGGGGACAGGGCGGAGACATCAAGAGTTGCGTGCACAGAGAGGGCACTGCCCCGGCCGCGCGCTTCACACACCTGCACCCCACCGGCCCCGGACAACACCCCCAACATCCCACCCGCCCCCAGGTCCACGTGCTGCGGCGCTGTGCGGGCCCGCCGT